CCCAGAGGTCATAAGCCAAGACAAGCAGGCCAAAGTTGAAGTCAACACCAACAGCCATCAAGGAGGTGCCAAGGCCATGATCAAACAAAATTCAGACCAAGGCACACAGGTCAGCGAGAGAAACCAGACGGGCCTCGATCAAAGCTAAGTCACTATAATCCTGCACCAATCTCACCACACCCCAACCACAAAGACCCAAAAGGAACTCGACCCCAATCACAGATCAGAACCAAGTGGAGAAAAAGGGAAGAGAAGAAGAGACGAAGGACGAAAAGGGGAAAGGAAGAAGAAGAAGAAGGGAGAAAACAGGAGAGGAAGGGGAAAGGAGGAGAAGAAGGGAGAAGGATTTTTTTAAAATATTTTTTTATTTTTTATTTTTAAGTTTTTTTTCAAACGTAACGATGTTCAAAGAGAATGAGCACCACCCGTAGACCCAAACTTTGGCACACAGGCCGAACTAAAAAAAACCACCTCCAACACCCAAATTTTGGCGCTCAGGCCAGGACTGAGAATGTACAAAGATCAAGACCATGACACATAGAGCAATGCAAGCCGCCAGGCACGCATCTCAAGTTGAACAGAGGTCCAGCCGAAGACAATACTCTCACGGAGCGAAAACAACATTAAAACGGGCATACCCGAGTGAAGAGTTGAAGACCACCACCAATAGTTGAACAAGCTAGCGATCAAACCGCAAGGTATGCAGGCTAATAACAAAGCCAGAAGGGCAAGACCAAGCGCTCAGGTAGAAACCAAATATTAAGGCATAGGTTTAAAACCCATTTCGTGGCCAGAAACCGAGAGACCAAACAGAAACCGAGGACCAGTGTAGTTCCAGACAGAAAAAGTTTATTCTGAGACTAGGGAGAGACTGCCATAATCAAGAATACCCTCCACTTCCTTTCAAAAAAAAGAAAAAGAATCCATCCACTTGTCTGCACCAGCTAGACCCAAGTCCCAACCGCACATAGTCTAATGGGACTGAGGCTTAGAACAGGGAGAAACTCAACCTCAGTCCAAGCCCCTTTCCTATTCAGCTATGTGCCGCTAAGAGAAACCAGCCATGGGCAAGATGCACCGCCTGCAAGCCCAGCACGCCGGACTGAAAACCAGACAGCGACCATGTTACGGTGTGTAGACAAATAAAGGGTATACTCGGACCAAGGAAGAAACAACCACAGTCCACACATAAACTCCATTTATCTGTGCACACAAAACCAATCACCAAAAGCACATCCAAACGGGATGAAGACTTAGACCAGGAGATCAGTCCAGGTTATGACAAAACCCACTCACAAGGAGGTGCGCCAGCGAAACCACATCACACACCCACACACTCACACACTCACACACACACCCACACACTGCACAACACATGCACACACACACGCACAAATAGAAAACACCACGCACACACCGGCACAAACACACCCTCCCACAAACGACACACTCAAACAGAACACAAACGCACCACTCACACACCAGCACACACACACACACAGCACAAACACACACCCTCAATTGCCCCAACACAGGTTGATTCAGGGAATGCAACAACACCGCGGCACACATGCCCAAAATTAAAGAACAGAGCCAGAGGTAGGGAAGAGTCTATACAAGACCTTATAGACCACCACCTTGATCTTAGTCATATCTCTGGCCACATCACCAGACTTGTGGTCAAAGCAAACTTCATTTCTCATCTTCCAAATACGATAGACATCAGTAGCAAACCCCAACCTCATGGCTTTCCTCATAATCACCGAGGTTTTCCTGTTCTTCCCTGACCAGTATTTCTAAAATGGGCCTTCTCTGGTTTCTTTGTGAACTGCATAAAAGACTAGTACTATGAGCCCTAATCTTTTCTTCCATTTGAAACTTTTAGCGTTTTTTAATATCTTCCCCCCCCCCCCCCAAAAGACTGAAAGAGCCATGTTTTACTGGTGTACAACTATGAATTATACAGAGTACTTCTGTTTTTGTTTTTTCTTTTTTACTTTTTTGTTGGCTTGACAAAAGTAATCATCTGTTACTTGTTCATGACTTATTTTGGCAAATTATTTTTTATCTTTCTTTTTATTATTTGAAAAATTTGTTACAAACAAGACTTTTTTTGGGGCGGAGTGTTTATGCTTGATGTTCACAGCATCATCATCATAAATGTATACACCAGATTAGCCATATGCATATTGAACCGGCTGCTTTACATTTTTTTCAAATCAATGTGGCCTGCCGACATTCATCAATGTTACTACTATTCCCTGTAATTTCAGCTAACGAAGTGATCCCCCTCTCAATGTTACTAATTATCCTTACTTAATATTACAGCTATTCCCGGATTAAACTGCGGATCCACTGGAAATTTATTCCTCATATCAATAATCAATGTTTAATTTTGTTGTTGCTACTTGACCACAACTGCATTTGTTGTCTCACTCTTGGCTTTATCATTTCCAGTAAAGAACCCTGGTTTCCTCTTACTTGTAAGACAATAACCCTGTTTAATTCACCCCAAGTTGTCTTGGTATTCTCATCCACCATTGATTGCACAACTCTATTCTTTCCATCTCATTTGGAGATTTTCCTTCATTTACCATTTAACCACTTGCCTTGCTTCAGTTTTGCAAAGAAGCACAATCTCGATTCAGTAATCCACCCATGCTTTCAATCGAGTTCGGGTTTTCCTGATGGGCTTCTTCCATGGACCGGGCCCAATATTTCACAAGCCCGGGGGCATTATCCCATCACCTTCATTAGGCAGAAGTTCAAATTTCTGTGTTACTCACCTCTTGTTCAGGTTTTGCGATGTCCATGTCCAGAGCTTCATAGCCACCCCCACCCCCTTCCCGTTTTATTTCTTGTTAATCTTGACATGTGGCTATGGGCACATTCCGGCTTATTTAGTAAACTCTTAAATTTATGAGTTTGAATTGGCACAATATGAAACGAACTGTTGATATGCTTTAAGATTTCTAATTTCTTACTCTGTATCCTTTTATGTCTAGTTTTTTTTCCTAATGCTCAAATGCTAATTGAAATGTTTGATTTGAGAACAGATATGGGAGTTGAAAAGGGAGTGCATGTGGAAGGGTTTTCAGAGCAGCAAATTACAAATGCACTGCAAGACTTGGTGAAGAATGGACCATCCTCCTGAATGAAAAACTCCCTCCCCATTGTATTGCCATTTCCATTGTTACTTGTTTTTGTGTGTGTAGTCTTTTAACTCAATAAGAAAACACAGTCTGGTGCATTAATGGTGAGGAGTGGCTGAAGTTCTTCTTCCCCAAACCCTACTTTTGTGGGACTCTACTTACTAGGGTTGTTGTTGTTGTTAAGTGGCTAAAGTTCTTGTCCACCCATCCCATCCATTATAAAGCTTTGTAATGTTTTTTTCTTTGTGTGAAAATCTTCAGCTCTTATCCCTCCCTCACAATTTGACAGTTGGATGGATTTGAGCCTGAAATTCTCAGCTCTAATGTATCTTCATGTGTTTATCATGTTGGATGGATATGCTAACACTTTTTCTATATGTTTGTTTAAAATACATTGAGATACAACTAAGAGGCCAATAACATTAGATTTGCTGTTGATTTATAATGTTGAGAGGCGTAATTGCAGTGTTAGTCCTCCAAGTTATTGTGTGATGTACAATTAGTCTTTCAACTTTGAAAATTTTAGGAATAGTCTTTGAAGTCTAGCGTTAGCGTTGTGCGGTTGGTCTTTTTGCTAATGTTTTTAATGTACCCCGTAGAATATAGGGAGCATTTGTATCTAGTCCATGTTTCAAAAAAAATATTCATTTCTTATTTTTGCACGTTCCAAAAACCTTTTTACTTAATTTTGTTTCTTTTTTTAGCAATGAATGACTAAAAACTCTCATTTAAGTAACTATTAATCATGTATATTTCACTTGATATTTTTCTAAATCCAGAGAATTGGAGGAAAAAATTGAAGTTTTTATGATTCTAATGATCAAATTTGGGTATATGAAATCTTGTAAACAGACAACTCTGCCATTTTTTGCTACCAATTTTATCTTTCAAGATCAGATTTGCAAAAAATTCTAATTGTTTTTTATCCTCATAGAAATTGATCTTAATTTAAGTTTGAACATATTACCCGGCACAATTAAAAATTGTTCCATGCAAGCCGCACATGCTCAGAGAATAAGAGCTCTCCCATCATTGAACAAATTTGATTTGTGTGTGACTCCATACTTAGCATATTTGTCTGTCAGTATAGTTGTTGTTAGGAATCGAATTTGTGTGTTATCCTTTGGCACTCCAAGTTTTTCCAATTGCAAAACGTAGACCTACACCAGTGAATTTTCAAACTTTAATATGCAAGTGTTTTTTACATGTGAAATACACATATGGAAGGTGGTTCCCACCATTGCCAGACATCTGAACCTATTACATACTCCGTATTTGTGGAAGATGAAAATTATAACCGTTACATCATTCAAAAATATTTTTTGATCTATATATACATTTGTGGAAGATGAAATATATAACAGTTATCGTATAAATTTATGCTACTCCGTATATAAATAGGCACATATTTTGTTATGTTTTGATTCCCTTCAAATGTTGCCTTTTCTTTCTCTACTACTCCGTACCGTTTTTATTTAATTAATAATTAATTTATATAAGTGCTGTAATTTTATCTCATAATACTCCCTCCGTCCCGGAGTATTCGTCCAAATTTGACTTTTAGAACTGTTCATCTAAGCACTTTGACTCATCAAATTCTCTCAATGTGTAAGCCTAAATATAATCATGTGTGATCTTGTTTGATTTGTCTTAACATATAAATTATTAATATATAATTTCTATAATTTTTTAATATACAAATTACAAGATAAAATGGATTAAAGAAGTGTATTGGATAGTGTGTAAAAATGAAAGTGGACAAATACTCTGAGACGAAGGTAGTACTATTTATGAACATGAAAATTAAATGTTTAAAATATAAAATGTGAAAGTGAGGAGTTTCTGGCAATCATAAGCAAATATTGATTCATTTTTCATCTGAGTATTATTCGAACATTTTCCAAGACAATTTGTTCAACGAATCAACAATAGAAATAAGAATTGCAAACTTGCAGCAAAAGAATTGTTTAACGTATATAATCAATGTATATTTCTTCGATCATAACCAACAAAAAGGGAAATAAAGGGACAAAATATGTAAACGTATTCCCAATGAAACCAGAAACCCTAGATCGAATTTAAGAAAAAAACGGAATCGCCGCCATTGATAGAGGATCAAGAGCTCGTAAACTTGGTTACCGCCTTCGTCCCCTCCGATACAGCGTGTTTCGCCAATTCACCGGGGAGAACGAGCCTCACCGCCGTCTGGATCTCGCGGGAGGTGATCGTCGGCTTCTTATTGTATCGGGCGAGCCTGGAGGCCTCCTGGGCGAGCTTCTCGAAGATGTCGTTGATGAAGCTGTTCATGATCACCATCGCCTTGCTGGAGATCCCGATGTCCGGATGGACCTGTTTCAGCACCTTGAAGATGTAGATCTTGTAGGTCTCGATGCTCTTCTTCACCTTCTTCTTCTTCTTCTCCGCGGACGCAGCGGCGGCGACTGATTCCTTCGGGAGCTTCTTCCTGGCCTTCGACGGATTCTTCTCCGCCGCCGGGGATTTCTCCGCCTTCTTCTCCGGTTTCGGCGCCATGCTTCGAGGGGGGATTCAACAGTGAGAGAGAATTGAAATACTGAGGCGCTGATCGCTTTCGTGCTGGTTTGGGGTACATGCGGTTCGTTTATATAGGAGGCACCGGCGGGATGTGATTGGTCAATGCCGTCCGATGTGCGCGCTTCTTTTATTTAATGGCGCCCTAATTTTCGTCCTTTAAGATTTATTCCCTGCCATATGGATAACTTTTTACACTTACCGAAACTGGATTAAGTTCATTTTTAATTGGGAGTACTATTAATTTGAATATTGAATTAAAATTCAAAAATTAAATTACGCTCTCCATTTCAAAATAAAGAGTAAATTCTATAATTAGATCCTTTAGAAACGCTAATAAAAATTAGAGTTTTTGAATGATTTGTTATTTGGGTTATAAAATTGAATTCGAGCGGGTGAGAGTACACAAAGATCGCTATGTCAAATTCTTCATAGTTTTCAATTTGGCCATTTAAAATAAAATTAAATTTTTTTAATGAATAATACTCTATGATAATTTTTACTTGTGTTTAATGTCTTTGAATCTAAATTTTGTGTTTTTCACAGACTTTAAATATCTATGAGACAAACATAATAACATTTGACCATTTTAAATATTTTTTAGACAGACACATATATTTTTATTTGTGTTAATTTTTAGAAAATCTTAGTGATGTTTTCTCTAACTTTTAGTCATTTAAGAGATCAATGTCTCTAGTTGCACATGTTTGGAATTCACAAACTTTTAGTGTCTGTTGTTTTATTATTTTATATTTTTCTTGTTTGATGAGGTCGTTTGACTTCAAGTATAAAATTATTATCTTGATTAACTATAGAGTTTAGAGACATTCACCATCTATAATTGTTGTTCACATTCACAGTTTAGCCTATAACGTCATCCAATTACAAAATGAATACAGACTAATCTTCTGTGAAATTAAGAAATCCTAAATTCACGAACATTAACCATGTGTAATAAAAATGATAGGAATTTCAAATACATCTACAAAAAAAATACTCATACTCATCTTATTTAGATGGGAGAAACGTAAATCTCTTCTTGAAGAATCACGTGATGCATCCATAAAGAGTTATATTAGAGTTACAAACAAAACACTCACAATTTGCACAAAAAGTTGATTTTATTTGAAGAGAAATAGATGAGGAAGAAGGGCAAAAAATATTCCGCATGGAAAAATGAAAGAGAGATAAGGTTGAAGACCAATGAGAGAAAGAGAGAAAATAGAAAGTAGAAAAACAAAAATTACTCTCTGGTACCCTCGAATTCCTAAACCAAACATAGTGATAGTTTACGACTAGACGACAAGTTATGACTTATAACCATGCATGTAAGTCAAGAAGAAGTTTGGCATACTTATTTTTAACAATTACTTCCTCCCGTCCCTAGAAGATGTTCTTATTTCAAGGAGAAATTGAGTGAGTTTATAACAGTATAAGTATTTTATTGAATGTGCAAAAAAATGAAATATGAATAGTTTTTTGAGACTGGAAGAAATATTTTTTAACCAATTATTTACTCCGTACAACACTATTTCCAACGTTTTATGAAAATTCACAAATAACTCTTCTCTCAATCTAGAAAAAAAGTACTTCAACAAATAGAGATTAGAGATGAGCCTATAAATTCCTCTTATAAACTACTCCGATATTGATCAACGAAAAATGAATTACAACACACAGAAACTCCTATTAGAGCATTACTACTCATTTCTCTCTATTCTTTTTCCACATCATTTACTTTTAATATTACATCAGCTATTCCTTCAATTCTCCTTACATTTCTCTAATAGTTAATTATTATTTTTTCACATGTCATCTCTTCATTTGTTAAAAAAAAACTTAAAAATATAATTGGTGATTACATTTTCTCTCTAGAAGAATAACATTCCCCCTCCTCATCTTTCTCCTCTATTCCCCTTCATTTTTCTCCATTAGTGATACCCTTAATCACCCAATGGAACTTATGGAAGTAGTTTCTCCATCTTTCCCCATCCCATTACACAAGGGAAGATTACTACTAGCCAGTATTAACTTCGTTTATCATCCCTTGATTTGACCAGTGAATTGGACAGAAATTTGATTTACTGTGTTTTTGTTCAAAATCCATGAAAATGAATTCTTACAACTCAAGATCTATCAGAAAAATGGTAATCAGGGCATAATTATTCAATTGACTTTAAAATTCGATTCAATGGAAGAAGATCATCATCAAGAAGATAACTGGATTTGCTGATTCTATGAAGAAAACAGATCATGGAAGATCTAATCGTATCGATATCTGAAAGATACATTCCATTTCCAATAGAACACACATAAACATCCAGAAACTTTTTTTAAAATCAAGAGCGGAACTGACACATTCGGTACTACTGATAAACCCTAATCTTAGAGGTACATAAACAAGAGAAATAAATCTCATACAATTCAACTGCTGGTGAACTTGGTGACCGCCTTCGTCCCCTCAGACACTGCGTGCTTGGCCAGTTCGCCGGGAAGGACAAGCCTCACCGCCGTCTGGATCTCCCTGGAGGTGATGGTCGGCTTCTTGTTGTAGCGGGCGAGCTTGGAGGCCTCCTGGGCGAGCTTCTCGAAGATGTCGTTGATGAAGCTGTTCATGATCACCATCGCCTTGCTGGAGATCCCGATGTCCGGATGAACCTGCTTCAGCACCTTGAAGATGTAGATCTTGTAGGTCTCGACGCTCTTCTTCGGCCTCTTCTTCTTCTTGTCGGCGGCAGATGCGCCGGATTCCTTCGGGAGCTTCTTCCCGGCCTTGGCCGGCTTCTTCTCTGCCGCCGCCGGAGCTTTCTCGGACGCGGGAGCCTTCTTCTCCTCCGCCGGCTTCTTCTCCGCCACCTTCTTGTCGGCCTTGGGCGCCATTGGAATCGGAAACTGGATTGAATGGGGATAAGACTAGGGCGAAAATTACAGAGAAGATTGAGTGGTAGGCGATGAAGAGGATTGGGTTCGGCGAGGAGGCTTTATAGGGGGCGAAGATGAAATCTGATTGGTTTAGAAATACGGGAGCGGATCGATGACGTGGAAGCTGGTTTAGGCGCGATTGGAAATGAACGGCAGGATTTACTCTTCGAAATTTGGGAGTCGCGCTTTTTAGTGCGCTGTAGAAAATTGGATGTGTTTTCGGAAAATTTAAATTGCCGCCTTCAATTTTCCAATTCTAAAATCTTAGTTATTCATTTTTCAAAGAGTAAATTTCCAAAATAGTCCTTTGTAATAAGGGATTTTTTCAAATTAGTCCTCAATAAGTTTTAATTACCTACGTGATCCTCTATAATTGAGATTTATTCCCAAAATAGTCCTTTGTAATAAAGTGTTTTCCCAAAATAGTCCTCAATAAGTTTTAATTACTTATGTAGTCCTCTATAATTGAGATTTATTCCCAAGATGATCATTCGTAAATAATGTTACTCAAATGAGGATAAATTGAGGGTATTTTTTCTCTGCTAAATTTAGAATCAATTCTTAAAATAATCATTTATAATGAAAAACTTTCCCAAAATGGTTTTTCTAATTAAAGATGTGTATTTGATTTGAAATTTAAATTTTTTTTAAGTTTTATAAATGTATTTGGTTTATCTCTATGTAATAAGATGTTTTCCCAAACTAGTCCTCAAAAAAAGATTAATTGGGAGAAATTTTGGTATTTTGATTATCCAAATTTAAAGTATATTCTCGAAACAATCATTTCTGTACAACTAAATGTAAAATTTTAAAAATACATTGACTATAAATAATTTATGAATTATTTAAAACTTTAAAAAAAATTTAAATTTCAAATCAAATACACATCTTTAATTAGAAAAACCATTTTGAGAAAGCACTTCATTATAAATGATTATTTTAAGATTTAATTCTAAATTTAGCGGATAAAAATACTTTCAATTAATCCTCATTTGAGTAATATTATTTACGAAGGACCATCTTGGGAATAAATCTCAATTATAGAGGACCACGTAAATAATTAAAACTTATTGAGGACTGATTTAGGAAAATACTTTATTACAAAGGACTATTTTGGAAATAAATCTCAATTATAGAGGACCACGTAGGTAATTAAAACTTATTGGAAACTAATTTGGGAAAACCCCTTATTACAAAGGACTATTTTGGGAATTTACTCTTTTTCAAAACTTTCATTTTTTTCGAAATTTAGTTACGCCCTGAGTTCCTCCGTTTCAAAAAATTCACAATCATTTTAAAATAAAATCAAAACATAATTCCCTATTTTCAAATTATTGAAATATTTTTAATTTCAAAATAAAATTATTGAACTGTGACAATGTCACACTATGTACAAGCATTTTACATTATTTTTTACTCCCCATGTCCCACAAAAAATTTCAATTTTTTATCTTATCCTTCTCATAAAACATTTCAATTTTTTCGAAATGGACTAAAATGTCCCTTTTTAACCCTATTTTCCCACATCTCATTTTACTTTTTGTTTATTATTATTACCTCTTCCTGTTATTCTTAACTATTTATTGATTTGAAACATCACTTTTAAAAAAACTAAAGGCATTTGTAGACGGTCAAACTCCAAAACATACCTCCTTTTAAATCATCCAAAAGTCAATACCGAAAAAGTTTTACGGGACGGAAGAAGTATAATATATGTTACTCCGTAGTACTAAGTATTATTGACAGTGTACTCCATCCATTCTTTTTAAAATGTCTAGTTCGTTTTTCGAACTTAAAGTTTGTCGAATAATATCTTTTAAAATATATTACCAATATTTTTAAAAAATAGTACAATATAGTTCAACTCATTCAAAGGCTGCGTACCTCTAGTTCAACGAATAATGAAACTCATTTAGTGCGAGATTGCTTCACACCTCGTGGTGCTTACACCGATCACCTATTGAAGTTCTGTTCAAAAGCCTCGTTTGAGATCTTCAAGATTTCATGCAGCGCAACAGTTTTTTCATACCGAGTTAGCCTTTTGGCGTTGCTATTGGCATAACAACTTGTACACCATATATAGGTTGGCCCAACACAATCCTCTCGTACTATGGTTGGCTTCTCGCAATTCTCCCTTTAACACCAACGGTGGATAGGACCCGAACTGTCTCATGATGTTCTAACCCAACTCCGGTTCCACTTGAATCTGTGCACAATCGAATCCTTAGAACCTTCTTCAACCCCATGATGTTATGAGTCGACATCGAGGTGCCCAACGACTTCGTCGATAAGAGCTCTTGGGAGTCACCAGCTTGTTATCCACGACATACCTTTGATCCGCTGAGCGAGAGCCCTTCCACATGGGACTCCTGGATCACTATGCTGACTTTTGTCTCTGTTCGACCAGTTGGTCTCTTAGTCAGGCTTGTACCATTACGCTAACAAGCAGAATCTAAGCTTGATCATACTTTTGCACACCTTCGTTACTCTTTAGGAGCCATTTGCCCCAGATAAACTACCCACCTCGTAGTGTCACCCCCCCCCCAAAAAATTCATGGATTGTTTAGCAACTCATGTGAAGATACATTTCAAATGAGTTGATAAACGATCATTAGTTTATGTCCCAGATAATCCAAATCCTCCCTAGAGGGTGAACTTGATTATTGATATAAGAACCCCGTCCTCCAAACATTTTATCTTCAATAGTTTTGAAATTTATTTCATTTGTTTTTGTTTCTAGCATACCAAACAGATACAAACTACACTTCTTTATTATATTCAAGACTTCTACTTCCTCCGTTCCTTAAAACCCTTCCGCCCTAAATTTTTGCGCACCTTATTAAACGCTTTTACTCCCACATGAAATATCTAAAATATATCCCACTATGTAGTTTATTGCGGGTAGAAGTTTTTTTAGGGGTATTTTAGCCATTTTAGGTGGGATAGAAGTATTTTATGGGATGCACAAAAAATCAAAACGGAAGTGTTTTGTGGAACGGAGGGAGTATTTGTTTATTCATGCTATTGAGCCCTCTCATGTTCTATCATCAATCATATCTGAAAAGGGTAATGGCCCTCATATGGGTCTGAACTTAGATCCTTATGTAAGCTTCCGACATAATCTGAACTTTTCCTTCTAATAAACTCTTCCTCTATAAAGTCGGAGTGATCATATGGAGGAGTGTCATTAGGGGATTTTCTTAAGCTCATTCTAATGTGAAGGCGCAACCCCCTCTAGTGTTCTTCTGTTGTGAGCTTTATCTATAGGTAACTCTGCTTTTAAGAACCGTTCAGCTTCATACTCCTTGTTGTCATTTTGCACAATTTTAGGCTTCCACATAAATTTCTCTTCCCCTAGCCCATCATCATTTGCATTGTTTCTCCTTTTGCATAGTTCAACCCTATCTCCAATCTTGTTGCTATGAGTGCAGAGGGTGGGGATCCATTCATATTTCACCTCTTATGTAAGAATTCTGCCTTCATCATTGACAAAATTTATATGATCAGCAGGCACTGATTAATCTGTACGTTAATCTGGATACGTGTATAAGACCATTTAGCTCTTGATGATATTGCCTTATCCCTTTTTGATTGGTTGTCCAATATCACTCCCCATCTTACTCAAGCCAGAAAGGGTCTAGTATTTCATTTCCAGATCCAAAAATTAAACCTAGACGGGAATGTCATTTCTGTCCATTAAATTCACCTTACATCCAGGGTACCAATTTTGCACATAGAATGGCTTGTTATCCATGAAGTAGTATTCCTTCTCAAGGATTTCATCGTTTTCCTCTTCCATAATAAATCTAGCAATGAACTGCCCTTCTTTTAAGAATGAAACATCTTATATTCCGTAAGTTTTCCAAATACGAGATAGGAAACCTTTCACAATTTCGAGAGGGGGGATTTGCACCCAAAATACAGCAGACAATTACATTATTCCAATATTTACCTGGCTCAACAATATCTTCCTTTGTGAAAGGTTAAACTCAAGATCCTCTTGATTCCCACAACTTCAGCAAAACTCTTCGGCTTCTTCTATGTGTTCTGATCAATTTCTATTGGATGATCTACATAATAATTTGTCTCATCAATCATCAGATCAATTCGAGATTTCATAGATTCTTCCTTCTCATACTTCTTCTCCTATTTATCTAGTGTGATTAACTCATCTCCGATGGTTTTTCCGGTGGCTTTTGGTGGTCGCCCTCCCTTTCACACGGTTAGAGAGAAACTCAAATTTTCCCACAATTTAAGTTGTTTAAAAAATTTCAGTCTTCTCTTTTATATTGATACCAAAATAAATTTGTTATGTAAATACGAGCCGTGCAATGCATGAATGTAATACTAGTATAACTTTCGTATTAATAAAATGTTGGAAAAAACTTTGTACTCCGTAGTAATAAACCTGTATTGGGCCAGGGAACATTTGGGCCGAATTTCACCTCGACTAAAGCCCAATTCAAATCCAACTCAGGTATTTTATTTTCTAAACTAAGCTCCATTTTCATTCTTCTCCGGCTCAACACCTCAATCGGAGACAGGAAAATCCGACGGCCGACGATTACTCCTACGAGCAAGTGGCGGCAACCTCCAAATATTTGAGTGACTCGGGTAAAATCTAGCACTATCTTATTGATCATTTTGATTTCTTATTATGTATTAGCAAAATTTTATACTGTTTGTGGCAAATTTTATACTGTTTGGGGCAAATTTTATACTGTTTGGGGTAAAATCTATTGAAATACATCTTATGTTTTGTGAATTTTTTTCCGAAATTTTGTATACTTGTCATGTTTGAAAGATTTAGGATGAGTAAAGGGTTAACGGATACAGCAATAAGATATTTGGGCTGAACAACATTAAAAGATTGAATCTAATCAGTTAATTAGTTTAATTCAAGAGTTATTCCGATTTATTTTCTTTTCAAGTTCCGATGTTGGATACTTTTTAACACTCCTCAAGTTGACAACCGGGCCATTTTGAATCTAACTAAAAGATCGAGAGTGCTAACACCTAAAAGAACACAAATTGATGGGCATAGACTTTAGACGAACAATCGAGTTACATGGGTCACATGACGTTTT